GAATAGTTGAAAATGTTCACCTCAGCAAGGCCCTTTCTCCCTATTGGAGATACTTAGGACCTCCACTCAGCAGCAAATTCGAGCCTGTATGAGGTGTCCACTCATCTCCCAAATTACTTGCCTCATACAGTAAAACTGTCTGTAGGCCACTTTTTATTTACAATTCAGAAAATCTTTGTACATAAATTGACCATTGTCTTTCAGTTCCTACAGTGATAGTTTTGTGACCAATGAACTAAGTGTGAAATCAGCCTTATCTCAAATCTCAGCTCTACACATATTTGCACTATGTCCCTGTGAGATACTTGACCTAAGTTCCTGGTTCTTTAGCTACGAAATACAGATGTATATGATAGTTACTATGAAGGCTTATTATTCAATAGCACTTCTAAAGCGCTTCACACACAAGTAGGAATTTGTATTGCGTATTAGCAATGCATGGGAGTTGCGAAGGCGTAGTGGTTGGGCTAACTGCTAACCAGCAGATCTGTGAAAGGGGCATTTTTCAGTCTCAAACTCACGGGGGCAGATCTACCTTGTCCTATAGGGTTGTTATGAATCCACACTGACTCGATGGCAGTGTTGTTTAGGTATTTATTAGCATCAGGCTGCTAACCTGAAGGTCCTTTGTTCAAATTCACCAGCCATGTCAGGGTAGAGATCTGTTGGCCGGTTTCCATGTCTGTTCAAAACCCTTATATACGGAAGTCACTGTAAGTCAACTCAATGGCAGTAGGTTTGGCTTTATTCTAAATTTGGAAATCAACTAACTTCTTGTTCAATACTCTTTAGAAAATTTTCCTAGGACATCTTAGAATCCAGACTTTCTGTAGGCAGGGGGCTGGATGAACCCCCAAAACTACTGACCTAAAATAATCTCTAAACCCTGAAATCTTAAAACCATAGTTTACCTAGTAAAGAATGCCAATGCCTTGAGCATTGTTCTTTTAAGCTCTACTTATATGATGGGATATAATGCCACCTGGGGGTGCCGCAAAAACAGACACTTTCTGAATTGCTTAGACTGGGAACGGAGTGCATTTTTTTTCCCCTGAAAGGGGGCAGTAGGCCAAATAAGTCTGGGAACTATGCTATATGGGATCAAATTGGGGGAGAGGGAGTACTCCTTAGGAAGTAGGGAACAATTCATACAGTCAGAATGGTTGCACAATCTGAATGTAATCCATGTGACTGAATTGTACATTTGTATGTTTTGTTGTGTATCTTCTCAACAAAAAAATAAATTATAAATTCCCCAATGCGGCCCCTTCCCCCATGACATCTTCTAGACTTACTAGATTTTTAGGCCTTCCCCTCTTACACAGGTGACTGAATCTTCAAGGAAGCTATAAAGCACTTTGACAGCAGAAAACCAATCATCCTTTGAGCTTGAAATAATAGACAAAAATGGTAACTATTATGTATTGCTTTACCTGGTCTAATCCAAACCAATTATCTAAAATACTTTAATTAGAGAGAAAGACAAGGAAATCTCAGATTTAACAATGCAGGGTATGAACCTGTCGTAATACATACACCAAAATTTTAATCTCCAGGAATCTTCTTTTGTCTCATTTTAATGAATTTAAAATTATTTGTGGTAAAAGTGAAGAAAGTTCTCAGATTGTCCACTTGTGGGTTTTTTCCCTTTTTCTGTGAAGTTGCTTTCAAAAAAGTTACTAAAACTCATATACTCTCAGTGCTTAATTCTTCCAGCAAGAACACTGGTATATAAAGCACAGGGACCTGTATGGATACAAGTGATTTGACCAAGACAAATATGCACTGGTTATAATAAAAACATGTTCAGAATTAGTGTTTCTAAAGCCCGTTTCTTGAAGTACTGTCACACATTACCTTTTCCACATCTCAGAGGCACAACTTCCTTAATGTTTGACTACCCAATGGAAAAAAAGATCTCATTGCAGGACCAGAGTTTGAATTCATGCTGGGAAATAACACTGGTAACTTTGGAATTTTTGCTTTCCCTTATTGTCGCCTAATTAATGGGCTAAAGCATCTATTCAGAGTTAAACTACCTCTCTCAAAAGGGGTGGGGCACAGGACCACCTGCAAGATTTTTCAAGGGATAATATGTGATGTCCCCATGATCCAAGTTTCCAATTTTGTAGTTGACAACCAGTTGATTCTGTTTTCTAATCACTTATTACCATCAATATTTCATACTTTGTTTCAAAGATCACATATTGCTTTCTTTCAGTTCAGGGCAGTGTGCATTATGAATGCCAAGGGTTATGTAATTACAATCCTGAAAATGCTAAACAGCTGAAACTAACCCTAAAAATAAGTTCCTCATAGATTTTTCAAAAATCCATCTGCCCTCACAGCAAGTTCATTGTTACAAAAATGACTGATTCAACCCAAGCTGCAGAACAGTCATGAAAGGTGCTCCCTACTCAGCATCCTAGCTTCCTACAGCAGCTGCACACATTCTCCACCTGGATGATCTGTCTGTGTCTCTCAGACACACACGTGCGCGTCCCCATGCACACACACTTGCACACATTCCCAAGAGCAGTTCTCAACTCTCACTACAAAATGGTCTAGAAAAAGTTCTTGCTTATCAGATTTCCGTAGAAAAGCCACGATCCTTACTTTTATCCAGTCACATTCTTATCTCAAAACGATGCCCTCGAGATGATTCAGATTCACAGGAACCCTACAGGGCAAAACAGAACTGCCTTTGTGAAATCTTTCAGGAGTAGACAGCTTCTTCTGTGGAGCAGGCTAGTAGTTTCAAACTGCTGACCTGTAGTTAGCAGCCCAGCACATAACTATCGCCAGAGCATATGTTATTTTTATCTAGTCCCCATATTTTTTGATCACCAAAAAACCTAAACTCACCTGCCACCAAATCAATTTCGAGTTATAGCCACCCCCTTGTGGGTTTCCCAGCATGTAACTATTTGTGGCAGTAGAAAGCCCAGTCTTTTCCCACTGAGTTGCTGGTGGTTTCAAACAGCTGACCAAGCAGATGGCAGTCCAATATGGAACCACTATACCAGTGGTTCTCAACCTTCCTAATGCCTCCACCCTTTAATACAGTTCATGCTGTGGCAACCCTCAACCATAAAATTATTTTTATTGGTACTTCATCACTGTAATTTTGCTACTGTTATGAATCAGGTGACCCCTGTGAAAGGGTCATTCGAACCCCCCCAGATTGAGAACCACTGCACTATGCCATCAGGGCTCCTTTTTATTAATCACAAAGGCATTTAAATTCCTTTTTCTCCCACAAGTTGAACAGATAAAGATACTATTTTAATTCCAAACAAATATACAGTATTTACTTGGCTTCAAGGTTTGGAGAAAATATGTCCTGTGAACATTTTTATATTTTGAAAGTTATAGGGGAAACTGAACTGGGAAAAACAGTGTGGAAAATTTTAATTTGGTCCTTTGGGGTTGACATTCAAATCTTATTCACTGCACTGGATAGGCTTTCCTATTATAGCTTTTATACTTTTGCCTCATTACATGTAGATAAAGCTATCAACTAAGTTTAACATTAAAAATAAAGATTCATTTAAACTAAACTATATGCAAGGAAAGGTTACAGAAATATTGCTTATCAAATAGTTCCAAAGGGCATTTCTACATAAACTAGGCAAGTGCCAAGGCCTACACCCTCCCCTTTCTCAGTCAAGGCACTGTCACGCCCTTCCCCTTCTCAATAAAGGAACTGTCAGGAATCATCAGAATAATGGAAACACTGAACCTTCTAACCACCAACCACTGTCATTTCTACAGAAAATAGTTTATATACATTAAGGCCATGACACAGTGCTCATTTTGGCAAGCGAGGCTTCACCTCTTCCCCGTCAGAGATACACACCCTAAGAATTCACAAATAGAAGCTTAACTAAGTCCATGGCCACCCCCTAATACCTATTTCACCTGGATGTGTGTGTTTGTGTGTGTGTGTGTGTTTTACCTCGTTTGAGAATTCACATAGGTGTATAAGTTCCAAATGAACTTAACACTTTCTCATTATCTATTAACACCTACTACTTTTACTTTTTATTTTATTGAACTTAAGTTCTGTTTTACATCTACTAGTTTTTTAATTTTTCAGATTCCTTTCTTGGTGAGATTCCTGATTGTAAAAGGAATAGTAACAGTTAAATTTGGCTGAAAGCTGTGGAAAAAGAATCCACCCAAGGCTTCTAATCTACTTATGAGAAGCAAGGAAGCAGATTTTAAATCATCGAGTATTGACTTTTATTTTTAGTCACTGTTCATAATTTGTTTCAACCAAAAGACAATACACACAGCAAAATTCTAATGCATCCCATGTAAATGTTTACATCCATTTTATTCCTCACTCACCTGTAAGACTTAATTTTTTTTTACATCTCAAAAATATGTCTGCAATAATTAGAACTTCATGAGCTGTCCCATTGGGAAACAGCTTTTTAATATTTTTACAGTAAAGAAGATGTGATGGGGCTTAATGAAAATGTAACTTACAACAACGTGGAAGAAAAAGAACTTTACAGGAACATAGTTGAGACCTCAGGAGGAAAGAGTTTAGATGCTCTGCTCCTTAAGGCCCCCAGATACAGAGGAAAACACACACACACACACACACACACACACACAACAGGAGGTTCTTAAAAAACAAAACAGAAATAAAAATAACCCTTCAATGCTTCATCTTAAAGCCAGGATCAGCCTCATGAAAGTTTGAGAAGCAGCTTTGCAAGCTGCTTCAGCAATTTTTTTTTCTATTTAAGGGTTCCAGGTCTTGGAACCCTGTAGATGGAAACAACTCATTGCTATTGCTTGGAAAAAGTTATTATTCACATCCAGTTCTAGAAGGAGCCCACCTCCTGAGTCAAAGCTGGTCAAGAGGGTTTTAAACGATAGGGCTTTCTGAGCAACTCTTTATGTGATCCACTCCAACTCCCAAGCACGTGAGTATATAGACATGTACAACCTCTCCCCAACCACAAAGTTCTTGGATATCCATGTTTTGCTCTCTGAATCTCTCTCTTTTTAGGAAACTGGGGTTAAAATACATTCACAAGAAAGAATATACCCAATGAAACTCTATTCCCCTTAAATCTCATGGCCCAAATATTTTCCAATTCACGAGACAATGGCGTTGAACCTCAAAATCAGTATTCCTTAACCCCTGGCTCTTCTAGAAGGACAAAAAAAAAGGAAAGCATATTATATCATAGATGGAAATACTCAAACCATTAGTGCTGAACAATTTTTTAAAGTCTATTTTCATATATCAATAGAACAAACAAGGGGTACAAACCACACTTTTAATCTAGCAAGAGGAAAGAACCCCCTCCCAGTTGTTACAATGAGGAATATTTCTTTAACAGATGATCACCATACACAACACAAAACATCCAATGACTGTCTAAACCATCTCAAGGTAACAGCACCCGGAGCTCTGTGGGGGCAGCTCTAGAAGAGAGCATCCTTCCTGTGGTGTTTTGAAATTACTTACATGAATCTCCTTAGGGTTGCAAAAGGGCGGGGTGGGGAGGGGCAATAGAATGCAAACAACAATGAGGTGAAAGTGCATATGAAAGTGTTGAAGGACGTGTATGTAGACTCAATGTGCATCACCCTGGGTTATGAAAACAGTCATGGAAATCAATCACTCTTTCCTCACAAAGCCTCTGAACTTGTAATCCCATCCATGTTTGCTCCCCCTTGAATACTTACACTTGGGAAAGAAATTACTGAAATGTGCACGTGTTCACAGCAATTGCGAGATTTCTCCTTTGAGCTGCAAGGCCAAGTGAGAGGAATACTAATTCTGATCCTAGAAACTAAGGCACTCTGAAGCTTTCAAAGATCCAATCATTTGAAACTGTCTTCACAACCATCAGTATCCTAGGCAGTTATTTGGCTGCTAGTCCTTCAATAGGATGCTCAGGCTTAGTCTCTGAAACTAATTCAAGTTCTAAGCAGCACCCTTTGTGTTAAGGCCATGATATTTTATTCCTTGTAGACAAAGCTATGGATGATCCTAGAATTCTACCTCAAAATTTCCATCAGCCAAGAAGATGCTTTGTCAGTATAGTAGATCCTTTCCAGCTCCATCAGCCACCACTGTCTTATAGCATGGTCTTCGGATTTCGTCAGATATTCAACTCAGTTCAACTAAAAAGCCTTGAGTTGGTTAACTACAAAAATGAGAGAGAAAATAAAGCCTCTACCACAAAGAGGAATGTTAAGACAAAAATCTATTCAAGAAATCCACCAATATTATGTTAATCCTATCAGGTTTCACAGCATTAAGTATCCATCCAAGAACTTAGTCTGAAAGGAAACCTTTAAAGGCTACTTTTCATTTCACAGGCAGAGCATTTGTCTTACAATATGCACCAGTTCCACTCATTTTACTGAAAACGATGCACAAAGATAATACCCTTGTTTGGACTCAACCATTTACCCAATGGAGTAAGTTTTAACAGATCTTGCTCTTACTAATAAAGGCCAGAAGGTTTCCCTATTGGAGCCTTTAGTTCAATCCCAGTTGGTCAAATGTTAGGAATAGTCTAGCATCTGATACAGAGCTAGATTAGACCAGACTCTGAATAGCATTAAGTAAAGGCCTGGTGGAATGAAGAATCTGTACCCAGCTTTAAGACCAAAACCAAAGTATTCATTATTCTGTACTTAATACAGTAATATTTTAAGAACAAGGTGGACTCACTTTTTCTTTCTTCTTTAATGTATAAGACATGATACCTGTATACTTGAATGTGCATAGTACATTCAACATATGCCATAGGACAGTCCCTGTTAACCTTAATTCCAGCAACTAAATTTAAGGTTTGATGACACAAGGATCCTTTCCAATAAGCACTTGGCACTCCTACTAGTTTAAAGAGCTCCAGGCCTCAAATCTTTGCTATAGATGTTCCTAAGGTTGGTCTGTGTCAAGAGACCATTTTTTCACTTAGGAAAGGTTACTCCTACTCTATGGTGTCTTAAGACTTCCTGTGTTACAGGGGGCTAGGAATCTACAAGGCTTCATTCCAACATCATGAAGTACAATATAGGAAAGATTTCTTTAACCGTGTGGTCTTTATTTCAGTGCCAGTGTTACATATACAACACAAATGTTCCAGTTAGAAGAAGGAATTCAAACGGAATGCCAAGGTCTAAGCCAGGCTCAAGAAATTAAAAGGGAAGTTTGGAGTAATTGAGATGACGACTCCAGTATGCTCCAGGATGAGTCTGATACTCAATCCTCCTATGGGTAAAAGGTGCTTTTGCTAAGGAGTCTGGTCTTTAAAACTAATGAGAACTCCCCTTTCAATCCATTTCCATAGTTTGACAGGCAAGTTAAGGGCTTAGAAGACATTTTTAATTTGTGGGGGTGTTAATAACTATTAATTTATCTTTTTGAAGTTGTCCACTTTGCACTTTAAGAGGAATCAATTTTGAAAATCATGGAGCGTATTCATGACTACAGCTAAAGAATGGTGAGAAGGGGGAGCTGGAAGAGCCTTGGAAGTTTCTATTACAAATAGAGCACCATAGCCTTCATGCCAAATCTCAACAAAAGCTCTTTTCCACTACATCTGTCCAGTGTTTACAAATAACCCCTCAAGGTCTGGCTAGTTCTTCGCAACAAACATACATACATATGTGTGTCTGTGTGTATACAGCAATGCACAGAAGAGGCTAACAGGAGCCTAATGCCTCTTTCAATCATTGGGGGAACCAGTAGAAAAAGGCAGGGCTCCCTAATGTCCATTGTTGCATTTCCAATCTGAATGCCTGGTGTAAAAAGCGCCTTAAGATGGTAACCCAGCTAGAGAGGAATAAATACCCCACCTCACCCAGTCCACAGAGAAACAACAGTAGAAGGGGCAACCCTTTGCTGCAGAGACAGAATGAGTGTTTTCTTGCCATGAATTCCAGTCCTCCCTCCAGACCAGCTGCTTATTTCCTCAAGGGTCCGGGGAATGTTGATTCTGGCTGTAAATTTAGGAAGGGTGGGGAAGTGCGGGAAAAGGAGAAGAGGAGGAAGAGTGCAAAGTAGCTTCCAGAAGCAGCCAGCCTCAACAATGGAGGAGAGGAGATAAGTCTTTAACGATGCTTCAAGGTCAGCAATAACTTTAGGAAAAATCCTCAACAGTCTCTTTGGCTCCTCATGCCCATGGTAGAGTTGGGGGGGACTTGCCAGCAATCACAACCTCCGTCCCAGAGTTCCTTTGATTGAGTGGGATAAGAATGAGAATGGTGCTGGACCCTCATTGCCAGGATTGAGGGGGAAAGTTGTTCACTTCTGCTAAATCTTGCATGGCTGAGCCCTTGTGATTATATGTGAGCTTGATCCGCATTCGCAGCTGTTGCTATAAGAGAAAAAGAGAATCACAAGCTATACATTGAAATAAAATCCTTAGAATCTGTCCAGCCTATAAATAAATAGACTGTTGATTTTATGGGTCAACAATTTTTTTTCAAAGCAAAACTGTCTCTTAATAAAGAGGCATATGCAAAAAAGAATAAATCACATAATACTCCAGCTATTAACTGAGGAGCTGCTATGAAATGCATACGCCTTCCAGTACAAACTCTAGAACACGCACCTCCAGAATACATCGTTGGCTTCTATCTTAGAAATGCACTGAAAGCACAAAACCATTTGAGAGCATCTTCCTAGTATCATTTCCTGAGTGCTTTACAAAAGGACCCAACCCTTGTAACCAACTGCCTAAAAAATAAGATAAACAAATGCCTACCTTTATAAGTCCACACATTAAGATATATTATTTTTTGTCTGAAAAACTTAGTTACTGTAAACATAAATTTATTTGTTCCCAAGGCATAAAAGGAAAAAAAGGTTAACTTATGCGTAAAAACAGTACAATGTTAGAGAACTCAATTACAAAAACACTTTAAATGGCAAATTTCAAATATTAATATACTAAGAAAACTTTTACTTTGTGAATTGGACTATCAAAGGAATTTTTGTTTGTTCTAAAGACAAATGTTAAAAATAAATAGCAGAGGAAAGACAAATTGTTACAAGAAAAAGAAATAATACTATTTATAGGACACTACTAGAAATCGTTCTGTGTGAATAAATTCTGTGAACTATTTTCATAAACTATATGAAAATCAGGCAATTAAATTAATATTTACAGGAACTAATTTACCTCTTTCAGATGGCATAAGAAAAATATTGCTTTATTTCTTTCAGCTTTTAAAGCTATTTTTCATTTGGCTGTCTTGTGAAAAGATCTCTTTTGTTTGCATACTTACTAATTACAATAATAACGGTATTTGGTTTGATAAATATTCTTACCCCACATTTTAGTTTGAATGAAGATTAAAATGACTAAGTCTTTCACCCCCAAAACTAGGCACTTAAGCCTATAAAAAGAGGATATATTTAAAGATGCATTTTCATTTACTGTCTCTGGACTAAGTTGACTATTAAAGGAACAAGGGAGTTGGGCCATTTTCGTAGCACTCTCTATGACAGTACGTCAGAAAAACTCCAAAGAATAAAGCAAATTTTATTTTACTTCTTAAAACATGGTGACATGTTGCTTAGAGATTGTCTTCAAATGTGCTACTCACCTTCTGAGGGTTCAGAACTTTAATGACTTGTGTGATGGTTCCTGTATTAAATGCCGGGACAATGCTGCTGCTAGGAGACAGAAGCTGCAGTTGGAATGTCTGGAGGTGGAAAAGTAACACATTTCGTATGATTTGAGCGATACCAACCAAAAAAAAAAGACACCAAGTTAGACACAAAGGTGATGGTTCAAGTCAAAGACTTGCCTACTACACTAAGTTCTCTTTGCGGTCTAGGTTTTAGCAGTTTACAGTGTGTGGGCTGTCACTTTATGCTGCCTGTAACTCACTGCTTGGGATCATGAAAACTAGCAATGGGCCCTTCTCCCTCCTTTCTGGCAGAAGGAGTTTTAGCCTCACACTTTTCAAAAACGTAAGCAATTCTTATACTGGCAACTTCTGATCAACTATGTAGGTGATGACTTTCACTTTAAGAGGTCTATGACTTTAAAAAGCCAGAAAGAAATCAAGGAAAACTGTTTTCTGAGAAAAACAAACACAGATCACTTAACTATTCAGATAATTTTATGCCTTTGTGTATTTACATGGTTGGGAACCAGCCACCTGAACTAATGTCTAGAATAATTTGTAATGCTCAAGGTCTCCTTCCCTCACTCTAAGTAACAGAGGAAAAGGAAAAGTATGAACGAGCATGTAGGTACTTAAGTGGAACACATGAGGATCCCTCCAGGAACACAAAGCCATAATGAAAAAGCAAATGCCCTAATTTGTAGAGTGCTTGTGGGTTTTCTTTTGCTTACAGAGATAAAAGATGTCGTGAGTTAGGGACATCAGAAACTACATAGCTCTTCTATATATTAAACCAAAAAACCAAACACACTACTGCCAAATCAATTTAAACTTTATCCCCTGTGCAATAACTGATCACTTTGTAGGAAAAATTCTGTTTTTCACTTACTACTATTAGAATTTCTTTTCTTTATCCTACAATTTTAACTATAAAAATATTTGTGACCAAGAAAAAGGTATTCAATAAAGATGCCATTTTTCAATAAACCAGATTAGTCACATTGATTTGGGTTAAATCTATAAGTTTAATATCTATAGATTAAACATGTCCTTTATCAAACACTTTTTTTTTTAATCAGCTAATCTGTATCTAAGGAAAAAGGCAAGACATTGTTGTACCTTTGGTACTGCAGCCTGGAAAACAAAGTCCGTCATATCTAGCTCTGTGCTGTTGGAGGCCTGTATCGTTATCACTGTGACACTAGGGTTGGTGTTTGACCGTTCAAAGGTGAATTCTATCTTCAAGCCATTCTTACTGTATGCTGTGATGGAAGGGATGCCTGGAGAAGTACAGAAAAGATCAGAGTAATTATACTGAACCTACTAATGCTTACAAAACTATTACTGCTTTTCTTCAATAACCACCTCCATTGCTCAGTACTCCATAAACAAAGGTAACCAGGGTAATTCTACCTGAAGTGATGTCATTGAAGAGAGGCTGTGATGAAAGCCCATCCAACAAGAAGGGAGGCTGGGATATCTGTGGGACTGAGGCAGGGGTTGGAGCAGCAGCTGGAGTACCTATAGAAAACATTCGCATGGACATGGTTAACCTTAACTTGCATAACTACTCACGAAGAAAATATACAAGAACATTATGATAATGTTAAGAGTAGAGATAGATTTTTCACACGATGTAAAAATAAAAAGCACAGACCATGAGAGAAAATAACTAAAACTTCAAATATATTAAAATTATAAAACGTCTACTGATTACCAAAAAATACTACAATAGGAAAAGGAAAGACCACAGGAAGAAGAAAAGGTTTGCTACTGAATAAAGAATGAAAGAAGAAACAGAAGTATAATTTTCTTTCATGAAAACAAAACCCAATCAAAACAGGAGAAAAGATATGAACAAGCACATCAGTGAAAAAGGAACCATATTTTTTAAAAAAAAGAAAGGTAAAGGAACTACACACACACACACACACACACACACACACACACAGCTATGGAGCGTAACTGAGGCAAGAAATAGCCAAATTAACCATTTTATTTGATCCTTCCAAGTAAGATCAAACTGGGAAGGCAAGTTACAGAACATAATCATAAACTAAGAGAAAACAAAATTCTAGAGTAAAAAAATTCAAAAAAGTATATTTTAAGCTCAGATTTCAAACCACTAAAGAAATTAATTGAAAATACATCATTTTCGAAAATTAGAACACAACGAAATAAAGGCCTTAACATTGTTTTATGTTTGTTTGTTTTTATGTAGTAGTACTAGAGACATTCTTTAAAAGTAGCAAGGAAGTCTGAAGTTAAATTAGCTGAAGAAAAGCACAAGAAGCTAAAGCAAGGATCTCATTTACCTCATGGTCAATGGTTCAAGAATGCTAAAGGAATGTTAAAGGAAGCTCGTGTATAAAGCAAAAAAGAACAAACTATAAACATTTCATGTAATCAAAGAAATAATTAACAAAATAATAGCACCAATTTTATACCAGTTAAGAAAAACTTTTTTTTATAGTAATAATATGCATGACGGCTAAAACTAATAGCCATCTATCTGTATGGGGGAAAAAAGTAAATAACATGTAATTGCTTCATATATATCAAGCACTAAATAAGTCACTACATCCAAAAATCTACTCCCTGCAGTAAACAGTATCCATGTTTTAAATGAATTCAGAAAGATTAAGTAATTTAATATACAAAAGTAATCCAGTATAAGAATAAATTAATGCAATAATATTTATCGAGAAATTATTTTGAAGAAAAATGTAGAAACAAACAAAACACCTAATACAAAGAAAATAAAGATATAACCATACATACTTTTTAGTGAAGTAATAGCCTTTTAAAATTATAACTGTGAAGATCATGTACTAATGTAGGAAATGATAACATGTTAAACAAAGCATACCATCTATTCCTGGTTTTAAGTAGTCTTTGCTATTTCTTATATTCAGTATACCTTTGGCATATGAGGATTTGCTATGGGCTCTTTATGAGTGACTCAAAGATACATGACAACTAGCATTCTGAAATTTGTTAAGCCACACTCTCTGGTTACTGAAATAGAGGGGGGAAAGCACTAAGCCTGTGTGTGATAGTCTAGTCCAGTATCATTACCATATGACTCTCTACTTGAGGTCATGCATCCTATAATTCCCTATAATACTTTGCAAAGGATCACTTACCATTATAGTTTGCTTCATACTGCCATTAATTAGGAGTAGAAATTATATGTAACAATGACTCTTACTCTCATTGACCCATAGCCCTGAGGGGGACAGACACACAATGTGGGAACTGCGCCCAACCTGATCCCCCTACACAGAGGCAAAGTACTTGAGGAATGCAGCAGAACAGTAAGAGAATAGAGCAGCAAGATCCCCAGGGAATTCTGAAGGTGGACTTTGGGGCCAGGGAGTGGTACACCAACAGACTGGACTGGAAAACACTCCTAAAGGCCAACAAACGATCCTGGAACTAAATACAAGCCTTTTTTTCTTGTTGTGTTTTGTTTCATTCTTTGTCAGTGGTTTGTTGTTGTTGTTGTTGTTTTGCTGTATATTGTTGCTTGGTTTTGCTCT